GGCAGCTATCACCAAGCCTCTTCTGAAATTGCCAGTTTTCTGGCTGTTCTGCTGTTGCTCTGTCTTGAATAAGTTGAGCTGATGACTCGAAACGCGTCATCAGCTCAGACGTCCATATGCTGGGTTTGGGTCAGTGTTTTGAAGTATTGGAGCCAGCCATGTTTAGGCTTATGCAAGAATCTGTATTGGTCATCCGTAGATTATTAGCCTTGTCCTAAAATCAGAGTGTTTTAAGAGTAACTTGCCCCTTACTTACCGTACATTGCTGACATTACCTGTGGATGACTCTAGAGCTGGGAGTCAGAGGCCTTCTTGAGGCTTGAAAGTTGCTGCCTAGAGAGCTGAGAGGCTCCCTGGAGCAGCTGACAGAATTGTCACCTGACATTCTAATAACTCATGCTGTTGTCCAACTCCAAAGTCTGTTTAACATCATCAATATGTATATATATATATAGTGCTCCACAGCTGTCAGCATATAAGACTTTATTTGATATTGTCATGCGCACTCCAGAGCTGGCAGACTGTGCTATGGGCATGATGTCAGAAGGATGAAGGGGCAATGACTTTCGGATCTCATCTCTGACCCTTCAGGGATCATCTTCAGAATGAGAAAGTAAAATAAGGGAACACAAATCTTTCATAAGAAATCTGCCGGCACAATGATAATCATTTACACTGTGCGCGGTGAAGGATCATCCATGTAACTGAATCCTCATCAGCCACAAAGATGACTTATTTAGTGACAGGAAGCGCAGTGTTCCCTTACTGACAGCCGAAAGTAAGGCCCCATTCACACCTGACCGTTTTGTAGCGCGTCCTACGCTCGATGAACGCTCTACAAAACAGTCAAAAAAATAAATAGCATTGTATTCAATGGTCTCGTTCCCACCTGTCCGTATTTCCGCCCGTCCCGAACGCGTTACAAAACGGCCCACGCATGAAAAGGTCCCGGAGCGTTTTTTGCTCCGTTTTGTAGGGCGTTTTCCATTTGTATACTGCCAAGTAGCCTTTGGAATCGCGCGACGGTCGCGCAACTTTTTTACCGCGAATTGCGGTAAAAAAAATCTCTCTCCCCTCTCTCCCTTCCCTCTCTCCCTTCTCTCTCTCCCTTCTCTCTTTCTCTTCCCTCTCTCCCTTCTCTCTCTCCCTTCTCTCTCTCCCTTCTCTCTTTCCTCTCTCCCTTCTCTCTCTCCCTTCTCTCTCTTTCTCTTCTCTCTCTCCCTTCTCTCTCTCCCTTCTCTCTCTCTCTCTTCTCTCTCTTCTCTCTCCCCTCTCTCCCTTCCCTCTCTCCCTTCTCTCTCTCCCTTCTCTCTTTCTCTTCCCTCTCTCCCTTCTCTCTCTCCCTTCTCTCTCTCCCTTCTCTCCTCTCTCTCCTCTCTCTCTCTCCCTTCTCTCTGTCTCTCTGTCTCTCTCTTCTCTCCCTCCCACATTATCAGGGTTGAGTGATAATATAATGGGGGATGGGGGAGGGGGGGGTGAGTCCACGTTAGGGATCTATAAGTCCAGGATCTGTCATGTTCCTCTCAGTCAGTGACATTCTATTACTGTGCAGATATTTTCACCGTCCACTCCTCTCCTCCCAGTGCAACGTGGGACTATGGAGGTAAAGTCCAGCTGCAGTCACTGCTTGGATATTCCAACAGCCGCGGACACCCGCTGTCAGAATACACTAGCTTCCAAATTTGCAAGCACCTGGTTCTATTGGTCCGAATTCACCACAACAGCCGAATATTGTTCTATCATGGCCGCTTGAGTAAAGCCTGCAATCCCTCATCTCTTCCCCCCTGGCCCACCCTCCCCTCAGCCTAGGCCTCTCCCTCCCTCTCCAC